GTCAGGAAATGTCTCCTTAGTTCTAGGTTGCTTCTCTCCTTGATTAGTTTCCATCCGTTGCTTCTTGTCCTGCCTTCAGGTGCTTTGGAGAATAGCCTGACTCCCTCTTCTTTGTGGCAGCCCCTGAGATATTGGAACACTGCTATCGTGTCCCCCCTCGTCCTTCTGCATGATTTTAAACTGCTAGGTCGGCAGACTCAATGGTTAAATATGCTGAGCTTGTCAGCTGGCAAACTGACAGCCCAGGTTCGAAACCTGAGCCCTGAGCAAGGGGGTGAGCTCCCATTACTTGCCCCAGTTAATCAAAACTCCCTACAATTTCAAGCAAAGAATCTTTTCCGTTGCTTTGGAACTGGAGAGAACCTGGGATTGATTCTCCTTCTGTATGTAAACCCTATGCTCAACAGAGAGTTGGCAACCCTAATAAAAATGTATGAAAAACAGTAATTCAAAATGCTAACCAAAAGAACTCTATGAATAATAGTCACACTCTAAAAAAATGGTTCCCTTTTTAAGCCTAAATAAAATGAATGGATGCAGATTTCCCTGCCTATTCTAATAGAACTGCATCTTCCTTAAGGATGACTATTTATTTAAATAGATGTCTAAGCTATCTAGAATCTTTCATCCTGCCAGGGACAAGAGAGCCCTCCAAAGAGAGAGCATCGTGGACAAGGATGTCATTTATGTCGGTCTGCAGATCTTTTACAATCCAAAAAGCCGACCTTATTACAGAACAAATAGTTTGGGTGCTATATTCTCAGCCACATCTGAGAACAGGGCAAGGTTCATTTGGAAGTTAAAAACTGGGAAAGTTGTCTCTGGGGATGCAGATATCACTCGGTCACTCAAGAGGTCATCGATCCTGCCCTGCAAAAACTGCTCCATGAGGTGGCCTAATGATAGGGGAAGCCTGAATAGTGTAATCCTAAAGCAGTTCTATGGGAATTTCGGGCATGTCAGCTGCAGCATGAAAAAAATATTAAAGTCTAGCCTTGTATCCCCAACTTTCTTCATGCATGATCTTGCCCTAAAATAGTTTCCATGTTACATCACTTTTTTCTTTCTTTCTTTTATATACTGAGGTCTTAAATTCCAACAACCTAGTCATAAGGAAGAGACAGAAGAAAATAGAGATGTATGGGAAACTCATACGGTATATTTACTATATATTTATATACTCTTTGAATATAATTGTATTACTATGAAATTTTGCCTAACATTGCAGTGAAAAAGTATCAGAACTCAAGGAATTTGAATAGTTTAGCCAAAAACTTATTTCCAGGATTGTTTAAAACAGTGGTTCTCAACCTGTGGGTCGGGACCCCATTTGGGGTCGATCGACCATTTCACGGAGGTCGCCAAGAAAGGCTGTCCGCCATTTTTTTTGTCCGCCATTTTTTCCCCCTTTTCCGGTGGGTGCCTTACCTCCCTTGGGCTGGGCCAGCTGGTGGTCAGCCTGCTCCGTCTCTGCCGCTTGCCAGCTATGCCTCGGCCGGCGCAGGGGGCAGAACCACGCATGCGCGGCGCTCCCGGGCAGGGAAAGTCCTCGACTTACGACTGGTTGGGTAGTCCTCGACTTATGATTGGTTTAGTCCTCGACTTACGACTGGTTTAGTCCTCGACTTACGACCGGTTGGGGTCGCGGCATTAAAAAGGTTGAGAACCACTGGTTTAAAAGTAATAAAAAAACATATGAGAAATTATTTACTTTGAGAATAGCTCTCAGTTCAGTCTTAGTAGCAGCAGCACTTGATCAGCCTTGACTGGATTTGAGAAGCTAAGCAGTGTCAGACTTGGTTTAATAATTGGATGGGAGACCACTAGGGCAGGGGTAGGCAGCCTTGGCTTTTATGACTCATGGACTTCAACTCCCAGAATTTCTGGGAGTTGAAGTCCACGAGTCATAAAAGAGCCAAGGTTGCCTACTCCTGCACTAGGGCATTCCAGGCCTATAATTTGGGATATTGAAAGATATCCTAGAAGAGGACCATGCCACATGGAAAACAATTTCTGTGTGACCTGCCAAGAAAGCTATACGGATGTGTCCATGAGATTATTAGGAAGTCAACTTTCACTGGAATGAAACATTTTCTTCCATCATTTAAAGCAAGGGTCCCCAACCCCCGGTCCGTGGACCAGTACCGGGCTGCAATATGCCAGCAACCGGTCCGCACAAACAAGCAAAGCCTCATCTGCGAGATGCAGGCAGCACACAAAACCACACACCCTCTGGTCCACGATAAAACCTCTCTCCCTGGTGCCCAAAAGGTTGGGGACCTCTGATTTAAAGGGTGAGGCACTGAAGTTGTCTAGACATAATTTCTCCCTCCCATGTTCCAACTCTTGCTAGCATACTGTTTGGTCTAGTGGTTAAGGCACCGGACTAGAAAGCAGGAGATTGTTAGTTCAAATCTCGCCTTAGTCCGTGAAAGCCAGGTGGGTGACCTTGGGCAGTTCTTCTCAGCCCAATTTACCTTATAGGATTGTTGCTGTGGGGAAAATAGGAGGTGGAAGCTATTGGATATGTTTGCTACCTTGAGTTATTTGTAAAAATAATAAAAGTGGGATACAAACAAACAAACAAATAAATCTACTTGCTCCTGGTTATGGATACTAGGTTTCAGGATAAATAATCATGTAGGTGTAAACAGTGCTAATTATGGGCTGAAAGTCTGCTTGAAAAGTAATGTCAACATTTCATCAATAGATGGTGCTAAACAGTTGCTCTTGAATCACTTTTTTTAAACATATAGCTTTATGCAGATAGTTGACAAAGAGAATATGAGGAACTTTTAGATCTGTGAATAAACGTGTTCATTTACATCAGATACCTCTTAAACTTTGTTTCAGCTGGACATTAAAAAACAACCAAGTTTATATAACTGGAAAAGGTGCAAAAATAATGGCCAAAGTAATCAAAAGATTGGAAAAGCCTTAAAGTTAGTATTTAATTTTCAAAAAGCTAAATACTGGGGAGGTACATAAAAATTATCTAAATTCCAATGAATAATAATTTTCAAGGAAAACATAAGGAAGTCCTGTTCACACACATTACAAACTCAACCTATAGAGTTTGCTCATCAGATTGATAACCATCTGATTACTACCTTCCTCTCTAAAAGAGCTGCAATTTCTCCTCTTTTATAGGTAGTCCTCACCAACCACTCGTTTAGCAACTATTCAAAGTTACAATGATGCTGAAAAGATATTTTTACGGCCAATTTATGACTTTTGCAGCATCCGTCCATCATGTGATCACCATTACATCAGTATGTGTTGTCATGTGCATGACCTGTTTTTTTTTTCCCCCTTTCTTCTTTCTTACTATAGCAGAGAAATTGGAGAGGAAGAGATTTCAAGAGAATAAGTTGTTTGTGTAATGTGTTGGTGGTTCCCAGTCATAGGCTGCCATTGTGATCACATTGCTTTCCAAGTATACAAGACAATAACCAGGCACTTGAGCATTCCAAAGGGAATGGTTAAGAGGCAAAGGAAAACTTGAAGGCATGAAACTTAGTAGTCTTCAAGTCTTTCAAGCCAGAAAACATATGTTCACATGATTTCCCATTTAGCAATTGCTTCACTTAATGAGGGACTTGGCAGTCTCCGTTAGGTAATGAAATGAGGACTACCTGTATTGTGATGTTTATTGTTCAAGCTATTTTCCAAAGCGCCTGAAGGCAGGACAAGAAGCAACGGGTGGAAACTAAGCAAGGAGAGAAGCAACCTAGAACTAAGGAGAAACTTCCTGACAGTGAGAACAATTAACCAGTGGAACAACCTGCCTCCAGAAGCGGTGAGTGCTCCAACAATGGAAGTTTTTAAGAAGAGACTGGACAGCCATTTGTCCGAAATGGTATAGGGTTTCCTGCTTGAGCAGGGGGTTGGACTAGATGACCTTCAAGGTCCCTTCCAACTTTATTATTATTCTTATTCTTATTCTTATTCTTATTCTTATTATTATTATTATTATTATTATTATTATTATTATTAGCACACTCAGCCTCCTATGAATAAAACAGAGTTTTCTACAGTTAAAAGGCAGTTGAGTGCTTTCACTGTTATAGATCCTGCATAAATAGCAATAGCACTTAGATTTATATACCACCTCACAGTGCTTTATAGCAGTCTCTAAGCAGTTTAGAGTCAGCATATTGCCCCCAATAATCTGGATCCTCATTTTACCAACCTCAGAAGGATGGAAGGCTGAGTCAACCTTGAGCAGGTGAGGATTGAACCCCTGGCAGTCGGCAGAATTAGGCTGCAATACTGCATTCTAACCACTGCGCCACCACAGCAAAATTATTTTGAAATGTTTTATATGGAAATACACTGCACTGCACTGCACTTCAGTTTGATTTTAATTGATTTATCACTGTTTAATTTTTAAAAGTTAGACCTAGTCACAATTTATTTTCTGTAAATTAACTGAAACTGATCCTTACCCGGATCTAAAAGTAAACACATAATATAATAATTAGAAATAAGCTCCAGCTTTCTTATTCATTCTCTAGAATTATGCAAAATACAAGAACTATTCATTAACTTATTTATAAACACATGCATTAATTTTGTTAAGTAAGAGGTTATTTCAAATCTATCTTGTTGATTTATACCATACACACCCATTCTAAATTCAATGGCTTTGAATTCTTGGATAGTTTTATGTGTTTGTTTTTTAAGGAATATACAGATAGTTTCATTCAATAACCACTTGTTCAGCAACCGTTATAATGTATGATGGTGCTCAGTGACTGGTCCTTAAGAGTGCTGGCTGCCACAGCACTTCTGCTGTCATGTGATTGTGATCTGGGTGCTTGGCAACCAGCCAGGATTTCCAGTTGTTGAAATATCACCCCATGATGCAGTTGTGATGTCCAACCTTTCCAGTTGGCTTCCACGCAAGCAAAGTCAGTGGAGGAGCCGGTAGGAAGTCAGAAGTCCTGATCATGTGAGATCATTGTTCTCACTTAACAACCTGGACAATCTTTGGTTAACGACAGCAATATGGCAACTGGTTAGATTGCCATTGCTAAGCAATGCAGTCACATGACATCATTCTTTATGACCTCATCACTTAGCAGTAGAAATTTGGGTCCCAATTACTGTCATTAAGTGAGTACTACCTATATATAAATTCCTAAATTATTGTATTTGTACCTTGGGCTCATCTAAAGAGGTCAAGAGGAAGATCAAATGTTATTCCATTTTATCCTCAAAATAATCCTAATTCATTCTAGCTATTTTTGTGGGCCTCAGCTGCCTTACTAGACTCTCTTATCTATTATTTAACACTGAGCATTTTATAGTCTCAGATTTCATATTACAGAAAGCTAATTATCATAAAAAAATACATGACTGACAGGGTGTTTTGTTCAGTTACAGTCTAGTAATTTATACAAGCGCTTGTTGAATAAAGAATATGGCTATAAATGTATCTAAATAATTTTATAATTGCAGTTGAATGAAAAATTAGAATTTTGCCTCAATTGTTATACACTTGGGTGACAAAATCATGTTAGTCATCTGTGTTATATTTATCTCTCAATGGGTTCTGATCATCCTATATAACAATTTGAATTCTCTAGCCAACGGCAATACTTCCTTCATAGTGGTCCACATGTTTCCTGGATCTCAGTTCATCTATGCTGGCAGAACTTTTTATTCTAAAGAATTCATTTTGGCTTTATACAGAGAGATTTTGTAGCAATTTTCTTAGTTTCATCATCTATCTAGATCAGACATGTCAAACTCACGACGTCACGTGACATCGCACAACGTATTGGGACAGTTTTGCCATTGCAGGCAATGGGATAGGCGCGGCTTTCAGATGACGCGTCCGGCCCATGGGCCGGCAGTTTGATACCCCTGATCTAGATCTTGGAATGACAACCAGTGCTTTTTTTCTAAAAAAAAAAAAAAAGGTGCCGGAACTCACACACGTCATACAACCCGCCTTGCCTACCCTACAAGATTCCCTCCAAAAAAGGTGCCGGAACTCCGTTCTGGGCGTTCTATGAGAAAAAAAGCCCTGGATGACACCATCAGCTTTTCATTTGCTTTTCTTCTTGTAAACATCAAGTACTGGAACTGTGTCACCTGTAGAAAGGCATGAAAAGTTAAACAAAAATGGGGGGGGGGGGGAATGAAAAAAATGAAGATTTAAACACAACACAATTTTGCTATATGCCAAAGAGGAGTCACTACCTTAAGAATCAGCAACTGACAGCTACTGAACAAAATTTGGTAGTGCTGCTGACTTTCAAATGTAATGAAAAAGATAAATTGTGGAAATGGGACTTAGTAAATAGATATATATTCTTACCTCTGCTCACTTCTCAGCATGGCTGCTGAATGGAGAACTAAACACTTGTTTGGTTTAGCATGATATGTGAACCCACCCATTATATCTAGGGAACAATATCAATAAGAATTGCTCAACAAATCCTGGCTTAGTATTATATACAAATAGAGAATTGAGCCTGCAGCAAAAGAAACCATTTGCTAGAAAATGGACTTTTTGTTACCCACAAATAGGCAACACTTGGCTGAGAATTAAACTACTTTTCCCTGTAGTGGGACACAGCAGGAGACTCTAATCTAGATCTCATAACATTCTAGTTTTATGCTGATTAGCCCATTTATTCAGCCTAGCAAGGTCTTATTTTCATTTGCTAGGTAATATACAGTACAGGAATGTTTCCTGTACTGTGAGGAGTATATTTATCATAGCTTGCTATTTTTTAAAGTCTTATTTTCTCATTAAAAATTTGAATTGAGGAATGAATGAACTCTCTCAGGAGAAAGAGAGTCTCTCTCTCTCTCTCTCTCTCTCTCTCTCTCTCTCTCTCTCTCTCTCTCTCTCGTTTGGTGAAGTAAATGAATGTACAAATCAACCTGTATCTGAAAAACGATGACAAATGGACAGCAATCTGGATCAAAACATAATCAAATGTGTACTGATAACTTTGAAGGATTTCTTTGCAAGATTAGACTCACCCCAAATCATGCGGTTGAGAAATCTTCCTAACATGTAGTAAAAGAAAAGGGTGACAAGACCAATCCCTGCAAACACTATGATGCCAAGTGGACTTAAAAACTTGAAGAGAGGATATAACCATTTGCCTGTTTTAGCAAAATAGTAGAGGACCCTAGAAAGGGAATTAATTTTTTTCAGTTAGGATATCTCATTATGAAACAAACATGATCAATTGGGTCAAGTTTAATTATAGTTAGAATATTCTTTCTAATAATGATTATTACATCAGTACATCAACTTTCTAAGCTTGTGCAACTGTCATCCATCCGTCCATCCATCCAGTACAGAATTTATATTCTTACCTTTCAGCCAGAAAGACTTCCAAAAAGGCAATGACCTCACTGAGGATGAGATCAACTCATCCTCAATTCCATGGGATGTGTGATCCTTTTGATACACTAAGCCAAGGTTCTTCAAACCTGGCCCTTTTATGACTTGTGGACTTCAACTCCCAGAATTCCTCAGCCAGCGTGGGGCGGGGCCAATTAATTTTAATTTTAAAGTTAAATTGTTCTTGAAATGAATTAAATAAAATGAACACGTGTACTCCACATTAGGGCAAAGCAATAAGATGCTTCCAGGCATCAAAGTGCTCCTAGAAGCGTCCCTTGATAGAGGCAGTCCTTGAGTTATGACAGGTCATTTAGCGACAGTTCAGAGTTATGACAGACACCCCCCGCCACAAAGTACTTAAGACCCAGCCCTGAAGTTACGTATGTTGCAGCATCCTTGTATTCATTCACCTTTACAACCGACTACAGAGATGCTGCAACAAGCATCCCCACCTATTTCCCCCTGCCAGGTCCCATCCGCCTGTCAACGATCACTCAGTTACCTTTCAAACACTCGGCCCCCATGGTCTTCCCAACCCAAGAAACTCCATTCGCAATTAATGACCCATGCATTCATTTAACAAATGCATTGGGGAGAGCCAGGATGGGGGCTCGTTCGCCTAATATGATTCACTTAACATCCTCCCAACCTTCACCTATAACGGGCAGGCTCCATTATAGTCGTAACTCAAGGACTTCTTGTATACCCGTCCCACTTCGTTTCTCTATGTATTCATTCAGTGAAAAGAGGTTTAAATAGGAAGCTTCATGCTGCAAAGCAAAGCATCAGCTTCTAGCTTAAAATGTATTTACAGGAATGCCTTTGAGTGCCTGTTCTGTCCCCGTCGGACACACACACCCAAACAGCCAGCCGAGGATTAAAGAACTTCTCCACACTCCAATCCACAGATAAGAAAACTTGGCAGCAGCTCCGTAGCTGCCTGCCAAGACTTTTACTCAGAGAACAAAAAACAATACACACAGTTAGAAAATTAAGTCCACAGCAAACTACTTCGCCAGAGATTCAGCTTTGTCCGTCACAGAGTCCAAATGGCCACCACCTCCCTTTTATAGCCTNGTGGATCCAGCCACAACTTATCTTCATCACTATCCGAAACACCTGGCTCCTGGCCAATCTCAGAAACACCTGGCTCCTGGCCAATCTCAGAACCACCTGGCTCCTGGTCAATCTCTTCTCCGTCGGGAGACACCTGAGGCATTGCCAAAGAGGAGGGTCCTGGAGAGGGAGGCCTGGCCATCTCCTCTCCTTCATGTTCAGAGCCTTCTTCCTCCGATAAGAGGGGCTCACAAGACGGAGCCACAACAGTGCCGTAATAGTCCCACTAAGATTACAGATGATATTCTGGTAGACTAGGCCCCCATTCTTATTACTGAGTATTTTGAGAATATCTTGATAGCTGTTTTGTGAGTGATCCCGTTGTGAGCTTCCAGAGCACCTGTACCACAAAAGCTTGCCCCTCCCTTTATTTCACAATTTGCCTTTTTATGCATGTGATCATTTTCTTTTTCTGTTCCATTTCTTTTTATAATTCGGGGGCAGCTTTTGGAAACATTCTGTGGGGCTTTTACTTTCTTTATTTCCATGTTCGTGTCCCTGTCTGGGACTCAGAAATAACAGTGAAAATAGAGCTGTCCTAATATATCTGATACCAAAAGAAAAGGAGCCGATAATGTTAGCACCTAATTTTAGATGTAGAAGCCAACCAGCATCTCAAATCTGGGAATGACCCAACACATCTGAGGAGATGCAAAGCAGGCTGATGGTAAGACACAGCTCTGTCACCTATTACATCATGTTATTCCACTGTCCAGTATCTGCTTCCGGAAGCAACCAGTTCATTTAGTTAACTGTTAAGCTGGCTAAAAGCATCAGTTATCTAAATCAGGGCTTTTCAACCATTGTACCACTTTTAGGATATGGCAATATCCGAGTATCACCAGTCGCCTAGCAAGGTGTCAAAAACTTGATGACCACCCCCACCCCCCGAAAAAGGAAAAAAGTGATGAAGTACAGGTAGTCCTCGACTTACAACACTTCACTTAGTGATTGTTCAAAGTTACAATGGCACTGAAAAAAGTGCCCTCCGAGCCACAGCAGAGCAAGACACCTGCCTGCCCCCCCCCCCGGTGGTGCTTTTCCTCCTGTCCGAGGTTTTCATTGTTGTGAGCATTTCTATTGAGGATTGACAGCGGGGATCGGGTGGGGGGGTGTTTGGTTTTTATTTCCCCCCCCCCCCGTCTGCTGGGTGGTTGCAGCAGGTTTTGGTCACTTCACATGACCCTGGGACACTGTGACCATCATAAATATGAATCAGTTGCCAAGCATCTGAATGTAAATCACAAGACCCTGGAGAGGCTGCAACATTCCACCTGATTGGTGCTTCTTCAGGGTTCAGCAGAAGCACCAGGATCAGTGCTGAGCTCCAGCTGGAGCCTGGTGCTGATCCTGGCGCTTCCACTGAACTTTGACAGTCCCGAAGCACTGATCCTGGTGCTTCCGCTGAGCCCTGACAGCCCTGCAGCTCCAGCCGTCTCTTGCTCAGGCTTGTGCAGTGCTGCCACCGGTTCAGCTCATTCCCCTCCCCCGCTACCACTTTTCTAGGATGGTCGCGTACCACCTGCCATGTGCCAATGTACCACAGGTGGTACCCGTACCACTGGTTGAAAAGCCTTGATCTAAATAACAACTAGCATTGCTAGGCTAGTCTCTTTCTCCTCCTTCTAACCTAGTTTAGAGACTTCCTTCAATACATGTGGGGAAGAAAACCTCTTTAAAATAAATTTCCTTAACTACCATTCTCTGTGTTGGATTACAGATCCTATAATTCAGGGTTCTAAGGAAGCTGTAGTTCAATACATCTGATGGGTACTATGTTCAAGAAAACCCATGTAAACTTTCTATTTGAAGCAGGGTTGTTGGGAATATGTTACCTTCCATAAATTGCAACTGCCATGATTAAGCTATGTTTGCTGTAGATGCTAGGTGCTACAGTATAATTTTGCAACATAAGGAGGAGCAGGAGATGTTTCCCATCTTTGGTTTAAAACAGAAGCTTTGAGGAAAGTTTGAAAGAGCAAAACTTGTACAGGCAGTGATTTGTGCACACTGGTACTATGGAATAGCAATAAGATGACCAGCGTGAACAATCTGAACAAGTTTAGGAGTTGATTGTCCCCTCATGTGACTTAAGTAAGGGCTGTATAATGCAGTTCCAAGGTCCCTCAAGGTCAGATCAGAGTTCAGTCTAGCTGCATTTGAGGATATATATTTTTTTCCTTGCAGGAGGGAGAGAAGGAAGTTGCATCCGTTGCAAATACTCAGGCTGGATATTCAATTAGACGAGGAAAAGAATTGTTTCCTCGCTTTTTGCTAAACATCATGTAAACACAAACCCCTTTATTTCTTTCTATATTTTCAGAAACTTACCAAAGTTGATAGCCCAGTGCAGTCATTCCTAAGATGCTGAGACTTTTACCCACTGATGAATACTGATGAGGGACAGCAACAATTTCTATCAGGGCCAAAGGAAATACCGAAGTGTGCTGGAAAAAAAGACAGTGTTTTAGACAAATTGTATTTGTGATGCAAAAAATTAAAAGTACAATCCGCCTAGTGGCAAGGATTTAGGGAAGTGTGGCTAGCCCGATAGCCAACAGAGATATTCCACAGAATCTGTAGAGGTACCAACAAAAATTAATAATAATAACGTGGAGCTCTTCCATCTTTTCCTCCTTAATGTGGTTTTTTAAATGGAAAACTAAAGGAAGGAAGTTGGGAGAGTTTCAAAGAGAAGTTGTAGTCCTCTGGGTTCTAAGGATAACACTACGAATATGGTAGGGCAATTGTAGAATAAAAATCCTTCTGAAAGAAGAAATGTACCTTTTAAAAACTTTATAATTCTTCTATCCGAAACCTCCAGATGGCAGCAATTGACCAAGCTTACCTTGATTCAGAAGCAAAGTCATGTTGAGCCTGGTTAGTACTTGGATGAGAATTAAATACTCCCAGAAGAAAACAGCAAACCATCGCTGTTTGCCAAGAAATGTGTGTACAAGTGAATCTATGAAGTCACCAAAAGCATCTTTCTAGATTCTACAGTCCCTTTTTTATTTCTGACCTCACTTTAATCAATCAGGTATATGTTTATTATTACTATATATGTATACATAAGGAACATCCGAAAGGGTTGAATGGTATTTATAAAATTAAACAAACAAAAGGTTTCTGGATGGTAAAGCTGAGCTGGGCAAGAATTTTTTTAAAAAAAATCATTTCAGTTTGCCTCATTTTGGTTTTATCCATTCTTAACAGTATAAAGTGAAAGAACAATGCAGTTTACAATGGCAAATTAGTTCACAGTGATTAACGCTGATACAGCCCAAGACCACAATCATTGCATGATTGGCCACTTCTTGCAAAGTTTTCTGTTTGCCAATGGCTTTTAATTAGCTCTCCTCTTTTGCTAGACAATAAGAAAACTGACTGTAGAAATGACATTAGTAATGGACCATATACTGCGGCTCAAAGCTAGTTGAAAGCCCTTTAAATGCATTTTGTTTTCTTCTCTGGAAACTGGTCTCTTTTCATAGCAATTTTTAATATAACTTTAGTCAAATTACACACCATGAGCCATTAAAAGCAATTAACTTCATTTCCATGATAACATATTGTTTAATTTACCATTCATTCAAATAAATGCAAGCTTTGTATTTTGAGCAAATTAAAAACAAACTGTTTAAAAAGCAAATCTTCGTAATTATGCCTCAACTGTCATCAATCTTTGAGGGTTGATAAAAATGGTGTGGTGACTCATTTTTACAGTTTTCATTATCAGTTTTCTTTTTCATTTACTTGTAACAAATAAAAAAACCAAAACGAGAAAATGATTATCATACTGGGATACTCCTCCTGATAATAAAACAGAGAAGGGAAAACCTGATCTAAACAAGGCATCTCGCTGTAAACAAACAAAACCCATGAAGAAATTTACTTCAGTTGCCCACAGACACTTTCTTTCAGGATGAGCTCTGTATTACCTTGCTTTTATTTATTTATCATAACAGAGGTATTATTTACTTATTCATTAAAAAAAGGTTTACTTTATTCAGTACCTGCTGTTCTGAGGTTTTATGAAAGGATAATAACAGATTCAATTTATGTGCAGTGAAATACTTGAGCAGAAGGCTTAACATTTTCTTCAAAGACGGACTGCTTTGTTACTCCTAAGGGAAAGACTTTAAAGTTTGATTTGTTTGCAATGATGGTACAAGGTAGTCAGTGGTGGGATTCAGCCAGTTTGCACCAGTTCGGCAGAACCGGTAGCTAATTTTTTGTTGCCCAGGCCCAGAATGGACTTCCGGAAGTGGCATCCACACAGAGAACCGCTTGTTCCCATGTTTGAATCCCACCACTGAAGGTAGTCCTTGTTTACGACTTCCTCATTTAGCAACTCTTCAGTTATGACCATGTTGAAAAAGTAACTTTACACATTTACAACCTTTGCCGCTTTGTAAAGCAAAAGAAAGCCGAAGTAAGACCATAAGCACCATCGCAATTTCCCACAGTGACTGCTTTGCTTAACAACCAAGTTGCCGGTCCCAATTGTGGACACTAAATAAAGACTATCTGCATCTGCATGCCTGTCATAATGCTGCGGGCTATTTTAGGATGCACATTTGGGATCTTTCTCATTTCCACTTGTACCTAATGTCCTGGCAGTATCTGTCTTATGCCACATCCCTATGAGGTTACCTTCATCTTTTTTTCCAGTCTGTATGCGAGACAGACTTAAGTTATCCTTAACTGTATCAGTGTTAATGTAGTGTTTTCTTCCTTATTCTGACATTAGCTAAGAGCAAGTTTTAAAGGATATAAAATCTGTTAAGCTTTATTACCTTGGAGGAAATAGGTGAACGCAGTGACTGAGAACAGAGGCAATCGAAGGACTGGCAATAAGGATAGCGTAGTCCAAGTGGATTCAGCTTTTTGCCAGTTGAAGGATTCACTTAACAAGCATATTACTAACTTAACAACTGCCACAATTCACTTAACATCTGCAGCAAGAAAGGTCGGAACATGGGGCAAAACTCACCTAACAACTGTCTTGCTTAACAACGGAAATTTTGGGCTTCATATTATGGTTGTAAATCCAAGACTACCTGAGCTCTGTTACTGCTGTCTTTTTAATCTCATAGACAGGCAGTTAACTTGGAATCATAACCTGAACTATCCAATTTAAGCCGTGTCCAATCTTCTACACCAGCAGTATATCAAATTACTGGTATCAAAATTATTACAGTTATTATTAGTGGTTAAAAATAGCATTTTGTTGTATGTTTAATTCTGGGAGGGAAAGCAGTGTTTCTAAGATTTTTCTATCACAGGTTTCCAAACAACTGGGATATCTATGGTGCCTATTACAGAGGAAAGGGGCACGCATCATATTCACCATTTATTGAGCTAGACTGGCTGACTTGTCAATTGGCATTTCTGGAGAAACTGACGATGCTCAACCTTGACTATAATTATTTTCAAGGAGCTACCACAGAATTTTCTGAAACCTCATTTGACAAACTTGGCTTCATGCCACGTTTTTAATTTATTATGTTAGCCTTGCTCAAAACCCAACAGCCAGCCGTGTGACGGAATGGGCTCCCACCAATTTGTCCCACTTACTGCCCACCAAGCAGCTCAAAAGCATACGAACGCCCGTGAATAAATAAGTAGCCAGGGCGTGAAAGGAGCCTCCTCGTGCATCCCCTGGGCAACGGTGTTGTCACCGGGTAATCCTTTCAACCTGGAAGTGCCTTGAATAGGTACTTCCGATACAAACATAGTAGTAGTCATGCTCAATCTGGTACCCTCTACGCCTGAGGCCTCCAACACATTAGCAGATACTGTATATATATTTAATGTGTAGAATCACTGGTTTACAAAAAATACATTATATTATTGCCAACTAGAAAAGGATAATAAAACTGTTGGAAGTCAGCACCCACCCACCCTCCTAGAGAAGGAAATATTTGGGGGAATATTGGAAAAGGCAGAAAATTATATTTCCCCAAACGAATAATGGAGGAAAAAATCTTAAAAGGCTTTTCTGCCCAAGTTTCCCCAGGCAGAAACTGAGCAGGCCAGTTTTTAGATTTGGAGCCACCTATTCATAAGCAAAATGCCTTCAGCCACAGCCCCAGAGAAGGTTTGAGCTGATGGGATTAGAAAAACAAAGACTCCCAAGGACAGCAATATGGCCTTCAGGACATAATAGGATTAATCCACCACCATTAGAATATCAAAAGCTCAGATCAAAATACATGACACAGGAACAACCTCAGATAGGAACAACTCCAAATACAAAATCCTAAAAAGGTATAAAAACCCACCAACTCCCAGCTCCATTTTATCAGCCACCCCAGAAACATGTTGTGTCACTGAAGTTTCTGGCAACTCAATAAACAAGAATCTTCTTTCCAAGCAGCCTCCATTTTGTTTACTCCCAGCTTGGAACTGGACCTGAAGATTTTTCTTTCAACAAAACATTTAAAATACTAACCTACTGTTGCAAAATATCATGAAACATTTTGTTTTCATTTCTGATCACATAAATATTTAGTGCTGATATTTTTAATTCTTTGGGTTATTTTAATTTGGGGAAAAGTTTGTTTCCCTTCTGTTTCTTGGTTCTGTTCTGTTTTATTTTGTTATTTACTAATTGTCTTTAGTAATTTGTCTTTGTTTATCCTTGTTGTAGGTTTATTTGCCGTTATCTTGTATCAAAAGACAATCAAAGGAAGAAAAAGTATTTTTTTTAAAACTAGTCAAACATTTGAGGAGGAAGACTGCACTATGGTAACTAGATACAAAACAGCCACTGCAGATTATGAAAACAAAGATATTCTGAATCTCGCGATATACCCTCTTCTTGGGAAAAAAAATTAAATTATTTGTAAGACGTTTTTGGGAAGGAAGGAGATGGTGGCTTGCTGGTGGAAGCACTGTTGCCACAACCAACACATGTGATAGAAAAATGGAGGAAACAGTGGGAAATGATTGGCACTCATGAATTGATTTGTATTCCTTGTGAAGATGAATAGGGTGGCACTCTCCAGATGTAGCACTCCAGATTCTATCATTCATTCTTACAGGGGAAGCTGATCTGTGGATCGCAGGAATAATACCAATGCAGTAGGTGCTAAAGCAGCGGTTCTCAACCTATGGGTCGTGACCCCATTTGGGGTCGATCGACCATTTCACGGGGGTCGCCAAGCAAGGCTGTCCGCCATTTTTCCCCCCTTTTCCGGCGGGTGCCTTACCTCCCTTGGGCTGGGCCAGCTGGTGGTCGGCCTGCTCCGTCTCTGCCGCTTGCCAGCTACGCCTCGGCCGGCGCAGGGGGCGGAACCACGCATGCGCGGCGCTCCCAGGCAGGGAAAGTCCTTGACTTACGGCCGGTTGGGTAGTCCTCGACTTACGACCGGTTTAGTCCTCGACTTACGACCGGTTTAGTCCTCGACTTACGACCGGTTTAGTCCTCGACTTACGACCGGTTGGGGGTCGCGGCATTAAAAAGGTTGAGAACCACTGTGCTAAAGCCATTTCTTCATTACTCTTTTTGGCAATATTTCTGACTCTGGGTATATGAGCGTATTTTAGGTTTGTTAGTGTATTTTGGTGGAAAAAAATGAATGCAGAAGATAACTTCCCATGAATATCTGCCTTCTTCTTTCATTGGCTTTTGGCAGTGCATTTCTGGGAAGCCTCAAATACTCAATAGTAAAAGAGACAAGTTCTTGAGCAATGTAGCAGTGTTTTGTCCTTTCTGGTGTTTTTTTTCCCAGCTTGCTGTTTAGAATGGGCTTTTAGTACTATTATGCATTTGTTTTTAAAGTATGAAATAAATATATGATAGTCAAAGGAATCCACCCTCTAGCTCCTTTCATAAATTGAATAATTAATATGGAATAATTTGCTTTTTGAGGGATTTCATTCTATTTCTGAAAAAAAAGCCTCCTATGACTTATTCATGAATTCTAAATTCTTCAGATTGCATCTGCTTCCATTTTCCAGTGATGTCAGTGGACGTTTCCTTTCCAATATAAATAACATAAAAAGGCATCCCAATCCCTCCAAAGAAAGCTGGCAATAATTAAATTCTCATCGTCCTCCAAAGAGGGCTGATGCAGTCCACCCTTTGTTTCATTAAAAAGGAATCTTGCCATCCCACTCACTGTTTAGTGCCAACTGCACAACTGGGATGTTCTATTTTCTCAGTTTTTCTTTTGTAATCAAAAAGGTACTGGTAATACTGGTACAATAGCAAGCTGCTTCCAATATCAGAAGACACAAGACTTGGGACCATAGAACCCGCAAAAGGTTCTCAGTGATATTATTTCCACTCTTCAGTATATCCCACCAAACATTTTAACATCACTCTGGCCTCTGTGTAACTAAACCAGCTTAAAGATTATTTTATTATTTCTTATGTTTATACTGTATTCTGACACAGGAAAATAACTTTGTCATCATAATGCCTTTGAGAAAATGATTATCCCCAATAACCAAGTAAGCTTCCAGAATAAGTGATTTAAATCTCATTCTAATATTAGTGCCAGTCTAATACTTCAGCTGCTGAAGTATATTGCCTACTAAAACTGCTAAAGCTACAACAGGCCTAGACCACTCCAATTCAGAAGTCAAAATGTACGTTTTAGTATTCTACCCATTCTCACTGATCATCTTCCTCAGAGCCAATTTTCCAGCTGATGGAAATTGATTTCTATAACATCCCAGTGTTATACATTTTGTGCACATGGTATACATTTGTGCACCCTGGTGTGTTATACAAATTGGAGAGAGGAGGTTATGGCATGTATTGTTGTCATCATCCTGAGTTAAGAATCAATAGCCAGTAGCTATGCCAGAGAAGATTTTAAAAATCCAAGAATGATTCTCTTTGTTGGATGGGCTTTTATGACTAAAGTTCATACAAACCTTTATTAACATTGACCCTACAAGGATTGTTAGTACAACACATACCTATAGCTCCTGTTTTGCTGGAAGCCTTCTTGCCTTTGACCAGCAAAGAATCTGTCTACCTGTTGTTCCTGGTTGGCTTTGTTTAATAGCATACCAATTTAAACATTAAATTTAGAATATCAGAACATAAAACAGTCAGTATCAGCTTTCACAAATGATTACTATATTAATCCTTTAGTATCCTCATTTGTTGTCGCTACAAACCTTAGTTGGCTTATACTATAGATTTTAGTTTGTTTCATTCCTTCCCAAATGTTGCCAAACAACCATTTGTATTCTCAGTCTTTCTGTATTTATATAAATTCAGTTCACAGCAAAACCCGTGAACTGCAATAAAACCTAGAAAAGTTATTTCTGCCACTCATGTCATGAATTCACATTTTTCCATCGATTTAAATTTGGCAAGGAGTGATCTACTAACATTTCCTCCGGAGCTTCAAGGCTTCTGTGGCAATTCACACTCCCACTTTTTGCATGTAATAGTATGAAAAGTTAAAGAGAGAAAATGAACTCTACAAATGAAAAATTGCAAAATCTGGCCATGATTCTGCCAATCTGAAGCTCTTCTGGTTAACTTTTTATAGCAGATTGTGAGCCACTGACTATGGAAATAAATGAACCTAAATCTGAATAATTATCTAGAATAATATGCATATGACTGTTTTTATTATATTCAGCTTTTTTCGCTTTTACTCACCATTCCATGATTTATCCATTCAGGAATAACTGATTCCATAAATTTTGGGAAAACAAGTTCCTTATCATAGAGATATATACTCCAAAATGAAACAATCACAAACTAGAACAAAACAAAGAAGGAAAGTGTTGATTGACTTGAGTTTACAATAAATGTTTACCTACAGTATATAACCTATCTTACAATGTCTGTCTGTCCATTCATCCCTGTGGGCCGGCAGTTTGACACCACTGCCCTACGCCTTTTGACTAGGTGAGCATATCTCTAGACCTAATTTACATTTGTGGCCATCAATGAAGATTCTTTGAGGGATTGGGCCTTTCAATATTTTCTAGTAACAACTAGCAACCTTTTCTCCAGTATCCTTCCTTGTTTTGTTTATCCAGGAATAGCCATATCCCCTCAGTTCTACCTGTTCCACTGCTTTCTTTTATACCTACTATATCTTTGTTTTTATTCACAACCAGGAACTCTAATTCTACATGACCATCACCAAACTTGGCTAGAAGGCATCTGGAATTGGTGGAGAAAATTCTACCGGGTTATGTTTTTTTCAAATGTTGTTTGCATGAACCTTTTCCAACCTTTTTTCTGTCTTCTAAACTCCTCTTGTCTCCTACATGCACTGAAATCCCTGAACTATTTTGGTCCTGCAAATGGAGCAGGTAGCATTTTTGAGAATGGTATTTTGGTATTCTTTGACAACTATCTTAGTACCTAGCAGCCCAAGCCTGACTTCTCAGACATTTTTTCCTATGTCATAACTATTGCCTCTCCCCAATGCTATCAGCGGTTTTTCTAGCCAGCTCACAGTACCTATATCTATCAGCAAAGAAGTCACTATATTTATTTTCTGCTTCTAGTTATCAAATTGTCCACATCAACAAAGCTTCCATTTTAAAATAAATATTTTCAGGATGACAGGATGTGGGTTCATCACTCAAGAATTAGATTCTGTCTACAATAGCATTTCTGTTATCTTCAAAATGATGTACTCCTTCCCATGACCCCTACAGACATTTAGAAAGAATATACTAAACTGGGTATCAGCTATAATTCGCTCCTGCTATAATACTAGGAATTAACTTAAAATCAAATTATTGTTTATCCAAATAATTATCTAATTCATAACACATATAATTAATTTTGCATTGATAAATATTATTGCAACTTACTGTGGAAAATGGAAAAACCAAGCTACTAAAGATCAAGTCTTTAAAGGATATCATGATCGTGGCAATTCTTTGTTTCTTCATTAGTATGAATGCACTGGTCAGCAAGGAGATCCCATAGAAAATAACCTGCAAAACCTAAATTAATTATATCTAATGAGCAGTTGATCATACAAAGGTAAGTTGTATATACTGTATCTCACCAAACTGTATGCTTATGCTTTAGAGAATAGTTTTCAGGCTAAATGTATTTTTCTTGCTGGAAATGTTTTGATGAATTAGTTTGGGTGATAAACTGCCTCATTTAATGAACTTAAATAAGAGAAGGCAACTGAATGTGCAAATATCCAGTCATTACAAGAAGAAAATCACCTAAAAGAAGTAATATGGATTCTACTCTGGGAGGAATTTTAATACAAAAAGGTTATTTTATAATATCTAAGTCCATGTGAAGTTGTGTAGTATTATTCTGATTAGCAATACTGTTTTTCTCCAGAAAATCAGACTGCTTGGATCTGATACATCAGAACAATGCAAACCAGTATTCTGAAAAAAACAAACTGAATCATCAAAGCAGAGCAATTCAATATATAAACAATAAAACAAAGAAACAAAGTGAGTTGCTGCATCAGTCTTGCATTCTACTTCAATGGGATTCAATTAAATCCCCTTTTTTCAATTCAATTGAAGTCTTTATCATTTGAATAGTCCCCATGGAAATGCATCACAAAACATTATACAAGACCAAGCCTATATTTGATAGAATGATGCAACTGCTTGAGATACCAAATAACAGAAGGGAGAAGAGCTAACCTCTCATTGGTTCCTCTTGACCATCCATGTCATTCCCTTCTGCCGGATCTAACTTGCCATAGGATTTATCCTGCATTACAAATTGGTTTATTACTTCTACAGCTTTGAAGTAATATTCAATGACAGTCCAATCATCTTACCCAACCTCATTGGAGGATAGGAGAGTACCATCTTGTTTGTTTGCCTCAAGTATTAAAATGTCTAGGCTAGCTCTTCAATTATATCCCAGATACTGTAGCAAAAGTACCAATTTAACACAAATACATTAAATATACAAATACATTATGCTGGGAAAACAGTCATTATTGTATTTATTTTACTTTCCTTCATAAAACGGGAAGGCAATCTTTTGGAATATTTATTTGGCGTCTTGGAAACATATCAGTGTGACTCTCACAGAAAAGCTGTCATGATGGAAACAGAAAAAGTGGATGGAGTTGGCCATAAAATATCTATCTACCAGAAGGCAAATTGGTCAGATCCCTGCCACCCTATCTAGACAGATAGGGTTAAGAGGCAGCAAATGTGGTGGTGACCACTTTAAATTATCTCATCGAATCACCAGCCCCATCCATATAAGGCTTCTAGTTAGACAGTATTCAGGTCAAACACACAGGCATGGGTCCAGGAACTTCCAGGCCAAAGAGGTTATTGTGCCTAGGATTCCCTTAATCCTCAGCATTTTGGTGTAGGTACACACATGGACATTTGTATGCATCAATGAACAATTTGGAAGTTATACATGTTTGGAGCAATGCACTGTGTTTCTTTGCTGCAGCCACCTGAATAAATTTGATATTATGGCTTTACATATACAGAAACATAAACAAGAGAAATGATCTATAACAAATACAATACAATATCTAACTATGGTTCATCTTTTTTCCCTTGTTAAAATCAAACATTGTTGACTGATGATGTATGAAATCTTCAACATGCAATATGCTGCAGCAGGATCATTCTTTTTTTAAAAAAACGATTTTATTCAATGTTTTAAAAAGTTAAAAGAAGTTAATACAGACTAATAAAAGCAAAGAAAAAAGAGAAAGAAATGAAAGAGAAAGCTAAAAGTACAAGAAGGGGGAAAAGGGGGAAAGAAAAACATAAAATAAAGAAGTTACAAAGACGTGGCTTCCAATCTTCTTTACAGCAATTAGCATTATAAATTTATCTTTTTCTCTAAAGTTACAACATGTCTCTTTTCTTTCTATAATCTATTCTATCTAATCATCTAAACCATAAATCATAAGTTCATTATCTGTTTTATGCAAAAACTCCATAAGGGGTTTCAATCAGCAATAACATAAATATTGTCTTTTCTCAAATCAAAGAAGTCAATTTAACCATCTTGGCAAGTTCCATCATCTTTAGCATCATTGCTTCATTTTAAGTATATTATAAGAGGATCGATCATTCTTGAGAAATCACAAACTAAGAAGACTTTGTTATGAGTGAAGCTGTTTAATTTATATACCACCTATCTCATTGTTGCAACTCCAGGATGGTTTACTTATTTACCCATCTGAAATTTCAACTGATTTCAAAAGAACTGTGCTACCTACCCTCCATTATTGAATTTTCCTATTTAGTTCAGCTACTGCTGATAGATTTCATTGTGGTGGAAGGTTAAAAACCTGGCTACCTTCCTATAGCTTATTGCACTTACTTACTTTTCAAAAATATGAATATTGAATTGTTCCAGATGGTTATCTTAGGTGTCCCTGAAACAAGTAGACCATCATTTGATGAACTTTAATCCAGAGTTTTCATCAGTGTCTAGAACTAGTTACACAATACTTTCTTTTCATTGAATGCATATTAAGGTATGGTGAATCTGAACTTAATAATTGCTTATTTTTAAACATCTGAATTTAATTTCTTATATGTTTCTTTCCTTAGAAATGTAAAGATGCATTATAAAGATCTGGGAAAAGGCAAGGACATTTTTGTGGAAAGTTTTCTGGACAGCTGAACCTCCCATAAAACAGTCATTTGGATACAGCCATTTCTTCCTATTTTACACTTCTGGATTTCTATAGGACCCCTACAAATTGCCTGCATATGTCCTGCCCCCCCCCCCAAACACTCCCAAGCAGACTATATTGATACAGGTGTATAAACTCATATAAGTGCGAACTACATTTTAAAATTTTAATTCTTGTTATTATTTGCTGGCAGGGCATTGATTTTGCAATCAACTCCCCCCAAAATGGTTGCGTTTGTTTTTAAGTAGCTTGGGGTTGAAAAACGTGAGCTGGTGGAGGAGAGTTGATCTCTGACGTCTCCCGATCCGTCTTGCATTCAGTGATTTCTTTATATTACAAGCTTACGCAGCCATTTTTGTCACACTTTTTACCCACCGAACACCTGGCTTGCCTTTAGCTTGCCAGCAACGCCTTGCTGCCGGCTCCCGCAGATTCCCGCCACGCTGGGCTTATTTGCAGCCGGAAATACAAACTCACGCTTCTAAGCTCAAGAGGCCGGCCGTCAGCTGGGTGAGATACGCACTAGCATACTTACCACAATGAGAAAACTCAGGTATCTCCACTGACCGCCAAAGAACTGGCAGAAGCGACCTGTGGACGCGATGGGCTTTTCCAGTTTGGCCACGTAGGGGGAGACGGCGTAGAAAAGAATCACATACCAGGCGAAAACAACGCTGTAGTAGACGGGGCGGGCAGAGGGGGACATGGTGCGGCTGGGAAAGAGTCCGGTGAGCAATTCTTTCCCCTTCTCACGTCTCAGCAATCCCGCACCGCACAACCTCTCTCGCCGCAAGAGCGCCCTGGCTTTGTACAGACGGTGCCGGCTAACACTTGTGACAGCCCCGGCCAGTCAACTTGGTTTTCCTTTTTTTTTTTTTATTTTTTTCCTGCCCGTGGTTTTGGTTCCACGATTCGGTTCTTCAGACAAATATCTATACACCACCAGGTCGTTGCAGATTAGCTGCCTGTTGGGCCTTGCTTTCATCTTTTATACAAAGAGTGGGGTGATTGCATAACTCGATACATGCACAAAGTAGTTATGGAAGCCAGGAGAGAAGCCAGTTTCATCAAAAAGAGAGAAGGAAAACCAGTTTATCAAAGAGATGTGCTAAACTTTGCCCCGTAATTGTTTGGAACATCTCCATTGCATCATCTTCAGATAGAAAGATAAAATAAAGTCCATACTGTTTCTCTCCTCTTCCTCCTCCTCCTCTCCATGGTAAAGGTAACGAAGAAGAACCACAGTATTACACCCTACCTATTGCACTTGGTTGTTGTTTTTTAACTTTAATACATTTTGCAAGATTTGATGCTTTGATCTGCGCCGATGTGCATGTTCCTGTGGTTAAAGCCTACCCAATATACACATTAAAAGTATATTGTGATAGAGATGGTGTGGAGCAATCATGAGAAATCAATGGCTTTTGTTTACAAGGCTAATATTATATTACAACATTTTCAAATGTGCTGAGCAGATGCAACTAACAAAGGATAAAGGGGCAAAGACTATAGATCAGGGCTTTTCAACCTTTTCACCCATTGTACCACTTTTAGGATATGGCAACATCTGAGTATCACCAGTCGCCCCCACCCCCCAAAAAAGGAAAAAAGTGATAAAGTACAGGTAGTCCTCGACTTACAACATTTCGCTTAGTGACTGTTCAAAGTTACAATGGCACTGAAAAGTGTCCCCACACCACAGCCGAGCAAGATACCTGCCTGCCCACTCGGCGGCGCTCCTTCTCCTGTCCGAGGTTTTCATTGTTGTGAGCATTTCTGTTGAGGATTGGCAGCGGGGGTGGGATGGGGGGTGTTTGGTTTTTATCCCCCCCCCCCCGTCTGCTGGGTGGTTGCAGCAGGTTTTGGTCATTTCACATGACCCTGGGACACTGTGACCATCATAAATATGAATCAGTTGCCAAGCATCTGAATGTAAATCACAAGACCCTGGAGATGCTGCAACATTCCAGCTGATCGGCACTTCTTCTGGGCTCAGCAGAAGCACCAGGATCAGTGCTGCTTTCCAGCTGATTGATGCTTCTTCAGGGCTCAGCTGAAGCACCAGGATCAGCGCTGAGCTCCAGCTGGAGCCTGGCGCTGATCCTGGCACTTCCGCTGAGCCCTGACAGCCCCGAAGAAGCGCCGATCAGCTGGAAAGCTGCACTGATCCTGGCACTTCTGCTGAGCCCTGACAGCCCTGCAGCTCCAGCCATCTCTCGCTCAGGCTTGTGCGGTGCTGCCACTGGTTCAGCTCATTCCCCTCCCCTGCTACCACTTTTCTAGGATGGACGTGTACCACCTGCCAGGTGCCAATGTACCACAGGTGGTATCCGTACCACTGGTTGAAAAGCCCTGCTATAGATAATAGAGCCTACTGCTCCCAGTAGTGAAGTTCTGGCTTCCATGCATGTTTGTTTTTTGCTTTTTTAAAAAAAATTAGTTTTTCTCTGCATGATTTACTAACAGAATTGAATAAAAATGCTCATTTACTGGTAGAAAATGGATGCAGTTTTAGAAAAAAAGACAGGAAATTGGACAAATAAATTCTGCATTCTATAATATATTCTCATTTCTCTCTTAATATATAACTTTTGGCTTTTGTTTTGACTTTTTTTGGGTGTGGGGGGGTGTTGGAATACTGTAATGTGCCCTACAGTACATGGTGCTGCTCTTGAAAAGTATCTGGAAATTTCAGTTAGTTCAAAATGCAACAGCCTGCATCGTTCTGGGCAAATTGAGATTTGTGCATATGTCACCTCTTTTGTGGGAGCTGCATTGGTTAACCGTTTTGCTTCCAGGTGGAAGTCAAGGTGCTCGTTATCACCTTTAAAGCCTTCATTGCTTGGGGCCAGATTATTTGAAGGATCATCTCTTCCCATTTACATCTACCCAGCCCATCAGTGAGGGAAGGTCCCGTCTTTTAGGGAAGTAAATCTAATGGGCCTTCTTTGTGGTGGCACCCTCCCTTTGGAATACCATTCTCCCAGAGATAAGATTGGCCCTCACACCTTGATACTTTTCTGGAAGGCCCTGAAGATGTGGTTCATCCATGCATCTAGAGACCCCAAGTTAATATATGTAGACCTGACCAAATGGCTTGTGTGATTGTGTATTTACCGCTGCAAGGGAGGAGGTGGGGGGTTTATGGGTTCTTACATTGTAAAATTTTAATGTTGTAAGATGTCCAGAGTCACTGTGTGTGAGTTGGGCAACCATATAAATTTATTTAGTAAATACATCAAAGTATTCATGTATATTACAAATGCCATGTATATTACAAATTATAAATATTTAATATTTTAAATATTAAATATTATTCAATAACCTCATGGTACAATCTGTTTAACATGTTCTTCAATTTTCGTATAATACCGTAATATTTCCCTCAGTTTGTTCTTGAGCACAATTCTGTTCTAGCAGAATCTATTGTTGCCTGGATATTTGATCATTTTTAAGCTACATACATTCAGATCCATTTGTACAAGGGAATACATATTTTGATTTTATATTAGGAAAGAATGAGATTTTAAAAACTAGAGTTCACCAAGAACTAATACAATTTTCATTATTTTTTTCAAAGCTTTGTTGCAATGCTAAGAGTTACCATTCTCTTAGCAATCTTTGCCCTTGTGACCAATAGCAGCATAATTTACCACACATATTAGCAGATATTAATATTTACCTCCATGCAATTGATAATTGATAAATTAACTGCTAAATGTAGTCACAGGAAGTCTATTTTTTTTTCAGATCATTGGGCAATGCCTGCCATTTGATGGCCATGTCATTGCTCAGGGGTCTTGAAACTTGGCCCTTTTATGACTTGTAGATTTCAACTCCCAGAATTCCTCAGCCAGGCATGCTGGCTGAGGAATTCTGGAAATTGAAGTCCACAAGTCATAAAAGGGCCAAGTTTGAAGACCCCTGTCATTGCTGATAATTATGGGACTTTGAAACTTGGAACAAAAGTCCATTTTCTCTTGCATTTTCCTCTTTTCTGCCTAGCACCACATCACGGATTCCAAGATATCTAATTAATTTACTTCAGATTCCTTCCAAAACCCCAAGCTATCTTTATAGATTTTTATTCACTGAATTAATCATCAAAGGATAATGCCTTTTAAGGCCACCAAATCAATAACACTGTATCTTTAATCCTTCAGTATTTCTCCCATGGTTTTTTCTGATTAAAACAACCTGTCTCTTCATTTATTCAAACACTTTTCAAACATCTTACTTGCTGTTCTTAATAAACAATAACCCAACAGTAACTTCCTCACTACTTGTCTAATAAGCCTTTAAAAGAAAAAGGCACAAACCTCAGCAGAAATCAACAATATTTCAGCTCAATCCATTTGTTTGGTTTATAAGTACAGAAGGTATAAATTTGATTTGCCCATGCACAAATAAAGGCACAATTTGAAAAAGATGTGAAACATGTAAGAGGGAGTAGGAATGAATCGGAAATAGAATTATGTAAATATGACAAACATGTAATCACAAGAATTTACAAATTGCTGTTAAAATAAGATGCAGAATAAGTTACAGTATGTAGTGTCAGATGGATGCTAAATTTTAGGGCCAACATCGGCATGAATATTTCCATCCAAGCAACTCTGGACAAACTGAGGCCCACCTTTACATGGAATTGCCTGAAATATATCTATCATTTTATCCCGATATCTACAACATAGGGATGCATTTAAGTTGCAGATGAAGATGATACAATGAATAAACACTGAGTTTGTGGTACATGTCCCTGCAATCCCTCTCTGTTCTGACCCAAGTTCTCCTGGCTTGGGCAGGTACTAATATAGTCCATTTACTGCACAGCTTTGCAGCGAAAAATGCCACACACACACCCTGGTGCCAATAAAGCTCCACCCCACTTTCCCTGACAGATGTCACCCACACACAATACTACCTGATCCCACAAACTAGGCCCAAGGCTGACCCCCAAGGCAAGGAGATAGCCCGCACTCCATAAACACTCCACAAGGCAAGGTCCAAAGTTAAAAAACCACAAAACAAAGCCTGGGTTCCACAAGCCAGGGTCCACAAAGCAAGATCCGAGGTTCAGAGTCCTCAAAGCAGAAACAATTGTAGAAAGAAAAGTCTTCATCCTGGTTCATCCAAGCTGGGGATAAATAAACAACATGACGACTGCTTTAGAAAGAAGGTTGCAGTTTATTGAAGAGCCAGACGGAAAGATGGTTCTGGCAGGAAAGAGGAGAGAAAAAGGACTGCGCACAAGTGGGTAGTAGGTTTTTATACTCCTCTCGAGCCTTTTGTTTGAAGTAGTTTCCTGTTCCTGTTTCAGGCTTTGTATTTCCTATGTCACGTATTCTGACCTGAGTCTGTGTGTGCCTTTCTGGTATTCTTGGTGGTGGTAGGTTAATTCTATTATATATCCTGCTTCCCTGGTGCTGGGGCTAATGACTCTTAGAGTTTGGATGGGGTATGCAGAGTTTAGGTGTCTTTGTCTTCTCTTAGCTTCTAGCTCCAACTTTCCTGATGGTTTACATCTGCATTTGTATAGAGCTGGCTTCTCTTTGGGACAGAGACTTGGGGTCAGGGTTGGTTTCTGCTTTTAAAATCCTTTTGAGGAAATATATTTTTCTGCCCTTTTAATATTTCCTTCCCTGGGGGGCTGACTTCTCACACATGATCCAGAATCCATGAAATGGTTCACAAAAGCCAGGGAAG